CCCACCGCGCCCCCCGGGACGCCAGGACCCCCGGCAGCTCCAGGAGCCCCAGAACCCTCCAGGGCCCCCCGGGACCTCCAGCATCCCTGGGGCCGGGGTAGCCGGGATCCCGGCATCCCTGGTGCATATACACGCAGGCATAGGGGTAAGGGGTAGGTATAGGTGCGGGCATCTCCCTCGTATCCCCAGCATCCACGGGACCCCTGGCATCCCTGGCACCTCCAGCACCCCCAGGCCCCTGGCACCCCTGGTAACACCAGGGGCTGGGCGTCCTTGGCACCCCTAGGGACCCCCATACCCAGTGTACCCAGGGTAACCGGGGACCCCGCGGCACCCACGGCCCCCAGTGCCCTGGTACCCTGGTACCCCCGTGCCCCTGCCATCCGCAGAGCCCCTGCCACCGTCTGCCGGGGGACAGGGGGGCAGTGGGCAGCCTTCGCAGGGCTGCCCCCATGCCCCCCGGTGACGGCAGGGCTGTGCCGAGTGCCACAGGACAACGCTCCCCGTTCGGCACTGCGAGGATGGCACGGGCCGGGCTGGGACAACCAGGCACCCAGAGTGCCCTTGTCCCAGCCCTGGGCCCCGGCGGTGGCAGCAATGCTGGTGACTGTGACCGCAGCCAGGCAGGGGACCCCCGGTGCCTGCCGTGGCCGCCCCGGCGGTGTTTGCCTACGTTGTGCCAACAGTCCCGGGACAGAACCGTGCACGTACTGGCCACGGCCATCCCTTGTGCCGCCCAGCCAGCCACACTGTGACAACCCGCGGCAGTGTTGGGGTGTCCCTGCCACGGGGTGTCCCTGCCATGGGGAGCTGCCGGGGCTGGGGCAGGAGTGCAGCGCACCCTTTGTTTTGCCACGTTTCCTCAAAGTCGTTCGGCGTAAAACGCCGGCACGGCACAGCACGGCACGGCACGGCACGGCACGGCATGGCACGGCTCGGCACAGCCACAGAAACGTCAACCCGAAAGTAACAGGTTGTCCCTTTGTTCTCCTCGGAGCTGCCTGTGGAGCTCCCTCCTCCGCCCCTGCCGAGGGAAGGCAGAGAGGTGGCTCGGTGCTCCTCGTCGCCGCCGTGCCCTCCAGCCACCGAGTATTGCCCTGGTCACGGTCCCCTCTGGCCACCGAGCATCCCCTCGGTCATCGTCCCCTCCAGCCACCAAGCGTCCCCCCAGCCATGGTCCCCTCTGGCCACCGAGCACCCCCCAGCCGCAGGC